TTTGGGAAGAACAGTATTTGACTTTTTCATCAAGAATTTTAATTAGTTTAATCTGAAAATTGGGTTTTCATTGATCGACTGGTAATTTCCTTGTCCCTAAATTTGCTGCTAATGTAATTTACGAGATGTTAAAACAACAATTAATTACGAAATCACTACAAACAGTTATTCAACTGATGAGTTTTCTACAGCACTAATAATTATAATTGTGTTATTAAGGGTTGGTCCACTATTTAACTCCACTGTTAATAACAAAGGTTACATATACTTATTAGCTTTTACAACTGTTTTAACAAATTAATTCTGCAATTATAGAGTATTGTATAAATTAATCACCATTATACCATTATGTATGATAATTAATAACTAAACGGTATTTTAACACATACTAAAGATTATTGTAAAATGATTTTTTCCAGTAAATTTTTAATCTATTTTAAAAAAACCACTTGAAACATCCAATATGAATAAAAATAAAGAAGGTAAAAAGCGAGCCAGATTTTAAAAACAAATAAAAAGAAATAACTTAACATGGAAGTAAGAAACACAACAATTTGAATGAGTCTCAACAGATTAGCAGCCTCGCCATCGATACCTTTATTTGTCATCGCAAAAGCCTTTTTCAGAATAACCCTCCAGTCTTTCCTGTTTTGTGCAACTCTTTTAATTCTTTAAATTCGATAGATTTTATATCATCCTTTAATTGTTTTAATTCTCCATATCGGAGATCTAGCAAAAGTCGCCTGTAGGTAAGATAACCAAAATATATAAGGACTCACAAATTTCACGATTTCTAAAAATTAGCTAATCAAACTGCTTGATATTCACAATACTAACATACGTGTGTTAATCTTGGACCCTGCGACACGTGGAAAGAAGAAAGATAGACACCACTCAAATGTTATGTTGGAGAAGAATTCCATGAACCGACCACAGGACAAATATTTCAATGTTAAAGGTCAGCAAACGGCTTTTTAACAAAGTCCATCTCCACCAATTAAAATAGTATGTTACTATTATATCTAAAGTATTACTTTGGACATGTTATGAGAGCAAATACAGAAAACATGGAAATACTTTTTATCCCAGGAAAGGTAAAAGATCACGAGAAAGATCCTCAACAAGATGAATTGACCAAATTACAGAAATATGCAAACTATCTACCCATGGGTTAAAAGAAATCACCAGAGACATTTGGAGATCTTTGGAGACGGACAATACAGGGCATTACGATGACCACTACACTTCCTCTTGCACCATTATGAGTTAGCCATTCTACATACTTCAAAATACCTCCTATGTCCATATTTACTTTTAAAAAGTCAGAATAAAGCAACTAAGTATTTTCTTCTATATCAATTTATATTTTTCGTTGTTTAAACCTCCTATATCTTCATATATTTGTCTACTAACAAATTGCTCAGTCTGCTTGACGCACAAAAGTCATATGTCAACATGAATACTCTTTATTGGTTGTATTTTGCAACATTATTCACTAGTCTGCCAGTAGTGAAGTGGTATTATAAAATCCAAATGTTCACTTTAAGAGGAGATATAATAATGAATCTTGTTGAAAGATCTACAAAAGCTTTTAATGAAAAAGGCAAGATACTGAAATTAGTTCAATAATTTATAAGAAACACTGTATTAGGAAGCTTTTATTGCTTTTTAAGAACAGAGTCTATAATGTTTACATTGTTTTCAGATTGATATCACTTAGGAATCTTCTATATGCAATTACAGTGACTGATTTCAGATTCACCTAATAATAATTTTGATTCTAACGGGAATTGAATAGTACAACTTTAATAGATGAAAAATTTTTAGGAAAATATGTTCAGTTAGTTAGTGTAGAAATGATAGTAGGCCCACACTAATGAACGAAGAGGATATTGAAAACAGTGATGGTATATCAACTAGGAGAAGCAAATGAGTATCTGGTCTAGATGGATAGAACAGAAACAAAATGCACAAACTTAGCGAGAAAAAAAAACAAGCTGGGCCCTAGTTACAAATCAACAATGTATAAAAATAAAAAAAGATAGTGTTCAAGCATTACTGAAGAAAGGAGGAATGACATTTTTTAACTTTTTTGAGCAGTATTAAGCTGGATGGAAAAAGGTAATTATGTTGCGTCACTGGTAAACTGTGTTCGATCAAAATAGAAACGTAGAATATAATGTTATGAAAGAAGGGACATGACTTGGACATGACAGAAAAGAAGTTTGTAAATACATGTTTTGCCATACTTTTTTCTTAGTAGTTTGAACTCTTAAAAGCTAGGCAAAATGTGGTTGAAAATTTAAAATGTAATACACATTCTGATAAAGAAAATGGTATTGTTAAAAACTTATTTATCAGAAAGTATTATGTAAAGTCTTTTATACGTTTTTTATCGGAAGTGCCCTCACATTAGTACCGAAAGGATACTGGCAAAATATGTTTGGAGAATACGTTTAAATCAGAAATCGATTTGTATAATAGCCAAACAGACTGTAATGAGTCTTTTTCTCGTGGTCTTTTGGCTTCATATGGCCGCCAATTACCGATTTCTTTATTCCATCGATTATTCCAAAGATTACTTAAAGATTTTACCATTCTTCTCTAATAATCTCACAATATTGCACTACTTTTTTTTCTCTATCTCAGTTCATTTTTACAATGAAAGAGCCTTGCCTTCAATCTCACTCTGGACTGTGAGTGTTAGCTTTTTTTAGTTGAACAAGTTTAGATTGTATTTGAATCTCCAGTAAGGCTTATTGCAATTTACATACATTTAACGAGTCATTTTCAGCTTTAAAATCGGCAAATATATGATGGGTATCAACATCGAACTATATAATTTTTTTAAGAATTTGCACACTGTTAAGATTTGGTTGATTGTAGATGTGTTATTCTTCTGTACAGCTCATTAGACAGCATTTTGAATGCCATGTACTGTGGGCCTCTATATGTCTTCCTTTTTGAAGAATTGAAACACAATATAACTAATTTTCAGTTAGAGTGCTAATTTCCATTGCCATAATATTTCAGTTAGTAACATGCGTGGGTTTTAAAACGTGGCCGTCAGCGTTTTTAAGCATTTAAAATAGCTTCTCTAATTTTTGTCTTTGGGGTAAAAAAAACTCTGTTTTTCAAATATGTATTTATTAGTAGAATTTTCGTTGGTCTTTCCATTGTGACGGTTGTATATTTTGTTTAGAGGGTTTTTATATTGGTTTTTCTTCGACCTTCTGAAAATTATTTTCTCTGCTCGCCTAAGATTTTTGTACTTTTCTACGGTTAATTACGTTCTATATTGCTGAATCTCTTTTTATGAATCGTTTTTCTGCTCTTTATCTTTAACATATTTCAGCAATTCAGTGTTATATTTTGTACTTTTGGTACTGCGGCCTTTCTTATAGTTTGGATACAAAATATGAGCTTTGCTTTAGCAAGGTAGCGTTCAAATTTATATTAGCAACTCTATACACTATTACAGAATATTTGAGAATTAATTCTCAGTAAGTTATACATACATACCTACATACTCGAGTACGTTTAAGAAATGTCGACCATCAATATGCACTTGGTAAATTTGTTAATTCCAATGTATTTCCCATGTACGTAGGAAAATACATACTTACTGCCATTATTCATACGACAGGTTGCATGTATATTTAAGAACCGAAAATAAACTCATTAGTTGATTTTATGGGTAAAGATATCATCTTCAAAAAAGTTTTGTCTTATGTTTGAGCTGTAGTATCGAAGTTCCCTAAAGGAAATCTTATTAAAAACACCTAAAATTAGTAAATTGTCGCCAAAATTATTGAGAAAATCAATACATACATATTTTAAAATCAAACAGGGCTCAAATTAGTCGATTTTATGGCCAAAAAGATCATCATCCAAAGAGATCTTCAGCAGACAACATTTTTAAAATGATCAAGGATCATTAATATTGTAAAAAGTGGCTACAAGTGCAGAGAAAAATATAAAAGGAGAATATATAAAAGTTTATACTTAATGTTCAAATTAGATATCATCAATGATAAGAAATACTCACTAAAATGACGTTATTGTTGATCGTACCCTGATACGATTATATCAAACGCAAAATTTAAAAATGTTTTCTTAATTTGAAATGGTTCCCTTTTTTGCTATATTACATATTTTAACCCAATTTTAATATATTAAAAGAATGTGTGCCACCCTGTATTAGTAATAAAAACTTGTAAACTTACGAAAATTGCTATTGAAACCACCATAAGATGAAATACTTTAATATGCATAGAATCAGATAGGACCAAAATCAATGCAAGACGTGAGTCCATATCTTGGGGCTGGATAATGGATAAGGGGAATTCCAACATGCATTTTAGGGGTCGATTTTCGGCTCTTTCACATATATTAGGCAGTTCAATATCCTCAATAAATTGAGAACAGCTATTGTAACAGTGGCGTGCAGACTGTACAGGTTCCATGTAATGTATCTCTTTATATCAGATGTTATATTAATATATTAATAAAAATTGTGAAAAATGAACCTATTTAACATACTTTAAAGATTTAAAATTTAGTAATGATACCCATATTTGAACATCAAATTTGTAATAAGGGTTAAAATACGTAGAGAAATACGTAAAAACACGAATAAGAATAATTGCAATTAAAATTATGGTGATATTAAATGGAGTACGTAATGTGTCCCCTCTATATTGAATTTCAATATACATACACATATAAGCAGTCAAAATAACCTAAAACTACAGTTTTACGGGAAGATATAAAAAAAGTTTTAGTATATTAATAAATAATATTTAATTATAATTAAAGCTAGAATTTGTTGAGCTTTAACAATAGATCAAGTGTATGGTACTAATAAAGTATTTCAGTGGACCAACCCTAGATTTATAGGCCGGTATGAGTCACCAGAAAATCGGGGCATACCTATTCATCTAATAATAATAATATAGTAGTAATAGTAAGGTTGGGATTTGCAACGGGACGGGGGTAGGCTACGATACAATGATATGGGGTGCCGAGAAGAGCACCGCTAACGTGGCGATGATAGTGAACAGAGTGAATATAATAAGGCACAATCTGTCAACCACCATTGCCGCGAATTTCCAGTCTTTTGTGATGTTTGCTGCTTCGTCTTCTTTTCGCAACTGATCGGTTATGAAGCGGATCTCCTTCAGAATCATGGCTAGCTCGTAGTCAGCACTGATACAGGAGTGATTCGCTACGATGGTTTCATGAAGACGCGGCCCACCGCCAACACTTGCCCCGTTTGTTCCATTTCCACCTTCCTCGTTTTGTCTATACGATAAATGACAATGATTACTAATCAGATTAATTAAATTAAATTATTATGGTTATATCTAGTATGTTTTATTAGTGGGGGAACATGCTGTACCTAGGGACGGTTGTACCTAGGGACAGGCTAAATTATCGACAAACAAAATACTTATCAGACAAACCTTAGATTTACAAAACATATCGGCAACAGTGTCCCTCTCTATGGTATTCAGTTGTGCACATGTTCGTGAAATGTTAACAAAAGCTATGGCCATTTTGTAATTTTTGACGTCCAAAGTAAGTATTTTTACAGGCTGTTTCGTCTTATTGCAAATTATCAATTTGAATGTAGTAAATAATCATGTTAGGGTGATATTAATCGTAATTTTTAGACTACCTAATCCAATAATCAAACCGTTGTATTTGTTGTGGCTAACGACTTATTCAACTGCTTTTATACATGGAGTCCCCCTGTTGTATCTAGGGACATGCATTTTGTTGTACCTATGGTCGTCCCCAGGAGCATTATAATTAGTATTAGTACCAAACAATGTTTTGTTTCAGGAGCTCATTATGCCAAGAAGTAAACAAAAGAAGAGAAGACCGGGACCTTTAAAAGTCAATGTAGAGAATGCTGTTCGTGAAGTTTTAAATTCAAGTCTATTAATTCATGCCGCAGCGAGCCAATTTGGAATTGCAAAATCTGCATTAGCAAGACATTAAAAATTTTAAAACATCAGGTCAAAACAATTTTATATACAGTCTGAATTATAAAGTCAAGCAAGTTCTTAATGAAGCCGAGGAAAGAAAGCTGGTAAACTATTTAAAAACAGCTGCTAGAATGCATTATGGCCTAAGTTTGATAAACGTTTGATAAACGTAAAAGAAGCAGGAAATAATTGGCTTAGAGGTTTCCAAAATAGACATTCTGCATCTTTGTTACTTAGAAAGCCCGAGGGTACAAGTTTGGCCAGAGAAACTGCATTCAATAAAGAAACAGTTGATATTCTCTTTCAATCATATAAAAATGCGTCGAGAACAGGAAACTTTGAACCATCTAAAATTTTTACCCTCAATGAGACAGGTATTACTACTGTACAGCAACCTTCTAAAATTTAGAACCAAAAGGACAAAAGCAAATGGCAGGAATGACATCTGGAGATACAGGTGTTCTAGTTACTGTGATATGTTGTATTAATGCTGCTGGAAATACTGTGCAGCCTTTATTTGTGTTTCCGAGAGTTAATTTTGAAGTCACATGTTGAAAGGGGTGCCACCTGGAGCAATAGAAGCTGCAAATTTGCGTGGATGGTCCAATGAAGGTGTATTTTTTAAATTCCTAAAATTTCATATCACATGGTAAACCTACTTTTATGTCAAGTTTTATTTCACCATATGAGGTTCGTCCCATTCCAAAAGCTTTGCTGCGAAAAGGGAACGTTTCTAAGGGGCGCAAAAAAGAAAAGTCTCGCATTCTTACCGACACCCAAGAATTTAATGAAATAAAAGAAAGTAAGAAAGACAGTATGACAGTATGTATGAAAGAAACGTCGTCAGAGAAACATCAAAGTGATTTTCAGATTAGAAGTTACAGCAGTAATTGTAATGATAATTCTTTGTCAAATTTAGAAATTGATTCCAATCAATTTACTCCAGATGATCTTCAGAAAGGTGATTTCATTTTGGTGCATTTAAAAGGGAAAAAGCAAAAGAGAGTTCGAAATAAAATATTAAAAAAAAACTCATTCTTTTCCATATGGCTATACATTTACGGTTGAAGATGAAAAGGAAAATACAACTAGCATCAGCGATATTTGACAAAACTTCCTCCACTACGTAAAGCAGGTTCATCCTCTCGACAATCAAACACATTTATCTTTCCAAAATATTTTGATAAAATTAATTTGGGGTAGTCTGTATAATTAGCAGTTTATATTAAAAATGTGATAAAATGGGTAGAAATATATAAGTTGGAAAATTGGCATTTTCGAATTAGCTTTATAAAGCTATGATAAACTGTCCAGCTTTTATTATTTTTTATCTTTATTTGTCTAATTTATAAAAATCAAATTATAAAAATTCTCCCTAGGTACAACATGTTCCCCTACCCGTAAATATATAAATTGAAGAAAGGTTAAAAAATATCTATACGGTTACAGATTCTTGCAGGAATAAATATAGTAGAACCCTAATATTCGCAGATTTTGATAGTTCTGCTTTAAGATCTATAGACCAGGGAAATAAGGTTTTTTTCGTGACACTAAATCGGTCAGGCAAACCAATAGCTTCTGATATATAGCCGAGATATCGGCTTGTTGGACCACCCGGTACACTTGCTAGAATATAGAATCTCACTAATCAACAACAGACTACATAATGACAATAGGAGAAATAATAAGTCTCTAGAAGACCAGAATAAAAATACATACAAAAGGTAAGAATGAAGTGTAAGACAAACTTAGTAAATAAGTAACAAAACTTAGTAACAAAAATATTTTTAATTAAACTAATTTTTTTTTAATTGAAATGTGGTTGAATGCTCGAATAAATGAACTTTGAAAAATAAGGCTATTATAGAGCACAAGTTAATTAAATCTAGCCCAAGTACTTTCGCTTAAAATAGCATCTTCAGGAGTATTAGGTCAAAATATAAACTATCCGGCAAGCGTAGAATGTGGAAACATTAATAATAACATAAAATTGTACAAAACACTACACTAAAACGAGGACAAATAGTTTAAAATTACTTTAAAGATTCTACGCTACATTCTTTGTCAGTATCTGGAGGGATAATGATCTAAGCGGAAATGATACGGTGACATGTGACATATGACAACTTTGATAGGCAGTCAAAGTTATGGATCTGTGATCAGCACATATTAAAATTCTGTAAAGTTGTCATTGGCCAAAGGTCCAACTAGAACTACTACTGAAAAAATCAGCTGATGAAGTATGACATATAGAATATTTTGATTTAAACTAGATTGCATAATCCAGATCTCACACTCACACCCGTCTGTAATAATAAGGTTGTAGGTTTGAGGCTAAATGAAGTGTTCATAAAGTGTGAATGAAAGAAATAGACGAAACGATCTATTGGACAGTGAATAGTTGACTACAACAAAATGGTCTACCAGGCACTGTCAATACTGTAAAAACGAGAAGAAAAAAAAATTGACTATGAAATTAAAATATTAAAATTAAATCAGAATTGAAAGCTGTGTGTAAATGGGTATAGTTCAAGTTGTTCAGTTAAACCTCAAGCCAATGGGGGGACTGTAAAACTAGTATGTAATAGCATTACTAAAGACCAACTCACCAACAGGTGTTGAAATATAAAACTGTGGAATTAGTATATGTAGATTATGCAGAGGTATGAAGAGTGAAATCAACTTCAACTGTGGATCAATTGAATCTGAGCAAGCTAGTTGTGTAAATTGTTAAATACAATAGTAATGCTGAACAAAGCATGAAATTGGTAGATTCTTTAATGTATAAACTCAGTGCAGGAAGTCTAGACAGCCGAGCTGGGTCCACTACGAGGTGAAGCTGTAATAAAGTTTTTAAAACTAGGTTTAAATTTAGTACAGTTTAAATAATTTGAGTGTTAAGACAATGAGAGTTTCCATTCGTTTCCTTTGTGATATCCAAAGCTTCCAATAGATCCAACTCCAAATAGTTTTTCTTTCTACTGATGTCATGCAAAATAGACGAACCAAAACAGACGAACAAGAGTTTGGTCTTTTCAAATGTTTTGATATTCTGGTAGATAGCTTTCTAATGGTTCTGCCTACATAAGAGGCATCACAATTATCACACTTTAATTTGTAACACCTCAAACCTACAACCTTATTATTACAGACGGGTGTGATCTGGATTATGCAATCTATTTTAAATCAAAATATTCTATAGGTTATACTTCATCAGCTCATTTTTTCAGTAGTAGTTCTAGTTAGACCTTTGGCCAATGACAACTTATACAGAATTTTAATATGTGCTGATCACAGATCCATAACTTTGACTGCCTATCAAAGTTGTCATATGTCACATGTCACCGTATCATTTCCGCTTAGATCATTATCCCTCCAGATACTGACAAAGAATGTAGCGTAGAATCTTTAAAGTAATTTTAAACTATTTGTCCTCGTTTTAGTGTAGTGTTTTGTACAATTTTATGTTATTATTAATGTTTCCACATTCTACGCTTGCCGATAGTTTATATTTTGACGAAGTAAGTCTAAAACGTTAATTTCAAAAAAACTTTTTTCATCCATTAACTTCGAGTTTTTTATCGAAGTTAACTAATTTCCTTCATCTAAAAAACGTTTTCTTGGCTTATTTTAGATGCCCCTGAAGATGCTATTTTAAGCGAAAGTACTTGGCTAGATTTAATTAATTTGTGCTCGATAAGAGCCTTATTTTTCAAAGTTAATTTTTTTTCTATTGTTTTCTTTTAATTTTTAATTTTTAAAGCATATTTGCCTACTAATGACCAATTTGAAAAGATACATCAGCTTTACTAAACACATTTTCTTTTATTTTTGTAAAAAATAAAATCAAAACATAAGTAGCTTTTTTCTAATACTTCAATAAAGCTATAAGTCAATATGTCGCTTGTACAAAATTTCCACCAATATTGTAGAACTAAGAACTTCTAGCCTTTCGTTCACCAGCATGTCCATATCCATTGCCCTAGTCGTCAAACATTTTCTGGTCTTTTTGTCAGCTCTCGTTCGGATTTTTCACTCGTATCTTATATTACTTCCGTAGCTCGAATCTAGGTAAATATATAGAGCAGCTTAGGTTTCTACTTTTCAGTTTTTCGACAAGAAATCGGCTCCATCACTGCGTTCAAATACCAATAAATACACGAACAAAAAGAAAAAATACTTTTAATTCTCAAGGTTTATAAAATAGGAATTATTTGTTTAGTAAAATACAGAGAGCGACAATATTAGGTAGAAGTACAAAATGTTTGATATTATAGATTTGCTAATATTGACGATTTAAAACAGTTATTTACAGAAATGATAGAACAATTATATGAGTTGTATATAATTAACAAATTATATTTTATACATTGTATAAATCCCAAATCATGATTATACATTGTAAATCATGATTCGGGAGTGTTTTTCGTAACATTTAAGTGTCTTTTAATAATTTTTAATGTCTTTTAATAATATTTCGATCTATTTTAATTTTTCCTGTCTTAACTTGTTTATTTCTGTTGACCGTCACTTTTGAATTTGTTTTAGTAAGGGCATCTCCAATAACTGTAATTTTTTTCGTATCCCAGCGTTTCATAAAAAAATATTTTGCAGACTCTTTGTTTGCATCCGTCATTGTCTTTAAGAACATATAAAAAACTTTTCGACCTTCTAGACACAACACTAGCTGTGTTTTCCGTTTTCTGTTTGGTTACTTGGTCAGATGCGTTATTAAAAATAAAATTTTTCTTTTCCTCTTTTTGCAATTTCCAAAATTCTCCATTTATTTCTGTTCGTCTCGCTTCTGTATTTTTTTCGGAACATCTCTTGCAAGAGATACAAGATGGTTTTACACCATGCCTAGCAATAATAGCTATTAATTTTCTTTTTTTTTTCATTTCTAAGCTCTCCTTAAATTTCTTTGGTTTGCGGATTTCCCCTGTTTTAGTTAAATTGTCTTTTTCTGCCCTTTCAACAGATACATATATTATATCTACCAAGATTTCTTGAATAAAAGGGAGACAGTCTTCCTTACCTTCTTCTTCACCTTTGGAATCAGATTCTTCAGGAGAACATTTGCACCTCTCAAAGTTATATCACTAATAATCTTCACTTTATTTAAACCTTTTCTGTTTAATTTGGGTTCCTCAATTTCTTCCGTCTCTGAATCTGACAAAATGAAAATCGGGTCATTATTATGCTAAAGTTTAGGTTTCTTCACGACACGTCGTCGTAAACTACGTCTTTTCTCCATTTGTTGGTTATTTAAAATATGCAGCATTTTAAATGCTCTGCTATTTCTGTCCATTGTTACTGGTTCAGTACAACAGTTTAATTTTTAGGTTAAGAAACTAAAAAGGCGGGAATACTATAAATGATTAGGTTAGGTTAGATCTTCCTGTTGTTAGAATATTTTGTCGAAACAACACAATTTTTAAGCAAATTTTGTCTTGTGAAGATACGATTGAAAATGTTAACAAATGGAGATTCAACAAATTGGCTTAACATAAACTGTAAAAATGCAGATTCGGCCAAATTTAAAGTGGAATAACTTATTTTTAAACAGCAGATAGGACTTAACATATATTCTGTATTAGTTCATAAATCTGTCTGTACAATACATAAAAACATTAGGAACATTATTCAGTTAAAAATGCCATTTTAATTACATCCAATAATTGTCGCCAATGTTAAAAATTTCAGTATTTTTTTTAGATGAATGTGCTTTTAGCGAATGCCTTAAGGGGTTCATCGGTGGTACTAATGCCCTTCCCGTTAACACCACTCCCGGTCTTCCCGTTTTGGCTGCACAACACAAAACCACAACTTCATTCAATTCATCTCTTCTCCCCTTCCTATTTCCCGCTCTCGATCGCAGTCGCGATCCTGGTTATTCGTGTTACACCTAAAGCATTATCTGCTCTCGGCCCACAGGCGGAGACACACTAGGAAAAGGGTTTTATTTGGTTTAATGTTAAAAAATATCATAAAACGAGGATTCTTTATGGGAAACAGATTTGAAAGTCGTATTGTTGACTTCGTGGCCATGCCAATATAACTTTTTTGTTAGTTTTTTGTTATTAAATACTATATATATATATATAATATAATTATATATATATATACATATACATATACATATAGATAGGGTTTTAGGGGAACATTGGGCTTATGGATTTTTGGAAGGCAGTATATCTTTGGAATTCGGGATGATTTTTTCTCTGGGTATAAGAGAGTTTTTGATGTCTGAAGGTAGAGTAGACTTATTTATGATGGATTTGGTCATTTTTTCTAGATAAATGGTGGAATCGTTTATAAAACATTGCATGTCTAATACATACTTTTCATTCCAAAATCATTTCTATCGTCAAATCAAAGGTGCCCCAATGGGATCTCCCCTCTCCCGTAATAGCTGTTATTTTTATGGAACATTTTGAAACAGCAGCCCTGTCCTCATCAAATCTTAAACCCACCTGCTGGTTACGATATGTTGATGACACTTTTGTCATTTGGCCTCATGGTAGGGACGCGTTAGATCTCTTCCTCTCCCACCTGAACGGAATACATCCTAGTGTGCAATTCACGATGGAAGTCGAGTCTGAAGCGCCTTTGCCATTCCTTGATGTCCTTATTCAGAAAAACTTACCTCACAGTTTTTCCTATTCCGTGTACCGGAAATCCACTCATACAAACCGATATCTTAATGCCCAGTCACATCATCACCCCGCCCAACTCAATTCAGTGCTCAACACTCTCAGTTCTCGTTCCATAAGACTTAGCGATATCAATCATAGGTCATCCGAAATCAATTCAATAAGGCAAACACTCTTACAAAACGGCTACCACAAAACCCAAATCAATAAGAGCATTCAAAAACATCTAAACCCCATTACATCCAAAAAAGAAACCTTGCCGCCGGTTAAACCCAAAATCTTTCTACCTTTTATTAAATTTGTCACTGACAAAATCAGTAGAACTCTTCCCCATCTAAACATCAAAACCATCTTCACTACTCACTCCAAGTTGTCCAATCTGTAAAAGACCCAATCCCTAATGAAGACCATGGTGTCTACGAGATACCTTGTTCCAGTTGCCCACGTACATACATCGGACAGACAAACCGACAAATCCATAAGCGTATTTATGAACATTCTATATCAGTCAAACATTCCGATACTACTTCAGCCCTAGCCCAACATCACATTCAAACAGGCCACAAAATAGACTTCGTAAAAGCAAAAACCATCGCCTCCATCCCCTCCTTAAAATCAAGAATCATTCGTGAAGCCATCGAAATCGAAAAACGGCCTAAAAGCTTAAATACGCGCGACGACGCAAAACGATTGCCGCCAACATGGCGACCCCTACTTCAGTGACCTCCCGCCCACACCGTTCAGGCCACGTCAGTACAGACCACGTCAGCCCATACCGTTCCCGCGCGTACAGCGAGTATAAAAGCAGCGTCACAGGGTAAGACCAGTTGTCACTAGACACTGAGGAGTAGGCAGATTAAGACCTCAGTGCCGAGAGACAGTTCTTGTATTTATAATACAGAACACGATACTGGTGCGTTTCGAGTGAGGGGAGTAGGCAGATTGAGACCCCGAACTCGAACCGAACCGTATCCCTCTTGATAATGGCTCCAAAATGGGAGCCGAAACGTCGAGCATTAAATTCAATTTATATAGAAAATATATTTACGACTTTTTGTTATAATTCACCAGAATAACAAAAATACAACACTGTTGCCCCCTTGGCAACAGTGTGGGTGAGTGGTAACACGTAAAACTGATTTCGCTCCAAGGATAGGTCGAAAAATAGTGGTTATAAATTAAAAAAATATACACATAAAGTAGCAACGACACAGAAAAAAGTGCAGCGAATAGCAATCCACAAATAAACTGTAAGTACACATAATAAATAGCGTAAACAACTAAAAAGTAAGTGGACATTTCAGTTTGACAAATTTGACAATCGACAGTTAAGGATTCCTCAGGTCACGGAATACAGACAGATAAACGGCGAAGTTGCCGGATTGTGAGAGAAATCTGCGGAAGTAAGTGTGTCAAAAATAGTTAACTTCTAATCTCTGAGATTGGATAAAAGCAAAGTCTTCCAAACCGTCGAGGTGTAAAAGCTTTTAACGCTATCCTAGAGATTTAGAAAAATAATCTATAATGGAAAAAAGATGAAAGAAATAATTAAAAAGATGAGTGAAAAATTAGATTGTATGGATAATAGAGTTATAAGAATAGAACAAAAACTAAATGAAGTGTAAAATGATTTACAGCTCATGAAACTAGAAATCGCAGAATTAAAAGCTAAAAATATAGCATTAAAATCAGAAAATAGATTACACGAAAAAAGAATAGAAGATCTAGAAAGAAAAATATTATAGTATATGGTATAACAGAGAAAGAAGGTGAACAAGAAAATATGATAAATAGTATAAAGATATGCCAATTAAAATCCAAGTTCCACTAAATGAACACATAGACATAATAGATATAAAACGCGTTGGTATCCAAAGAGATTCCATACGACAGTTACCGAGACCTATACTACTGGAACTTGGAAGCGGTTCCAAAAGAACAGAAATAATGAACAATCGAAAAGACTAAAAGGAACTGACATTTACCTAAGTGAAGATTATTCCAAGGAGTTACAAGACCAGAGAAAAATACTGAAACAACACTAAGAAGCAAGAGAAAGGGGCCAGAAGGCATCGCTAAATTATAATAAGCTAAAAATAGACGAAAAAACATATACTGTGGAAAGCTTAGGATACAAGAAGACACAAAGCGAAACTATGAATACTAAACCACCTCAAGGAAAACCCAGGGGAAGAACGTATACTGAAAGATATATGTAGTATCAGTTGTAGCTATAAAATGATATATACGTTTATGTATATAAAGGTATAGAGAGGTCTAGAGGATCACGTCGTTTTAGTCTTCCTCTCCTTGGTCGCTTAAGTAGGTCTTGGGCAAGTGTATTTGGATGGTTTAGTAGTCTATTTTTGTAAGTGCCACTGAGTGAGACAACGGTGTCTTTAATATTTTGGATCTGAAGATCTCGGTGTATCACATAATTGGGCACGTACCACGGTGCATTGGTAATATGTCTCAAAACTTTAGATTGGAAACGTTGAAGTTTCAGTAAGTGAGAATTAGATACTGTACCCCATATCTGTATACCGTAGGTCCAAACTGGCTTTAGAACACCTTTATACAGTAATAATTTATTATGTAGACTTAGTTTGGATTTTTTATTCATGAACCAATACATTTTCCTGTATATTAACCCTAGTTGCAGTCGCTTTGTCCAGATGTGCTTTCCCCAATTTAGTCGGCTGTCAAAATGTATTCCCAAGTATTTAACATCACTTTTTTTGGGTATTATGGTATTGTTTATGCACACAGATGGTACACTCTCTTTGCGTAAAGTAAATGTTATATGTGCTGATTTGCTGCCATTTACTTTAATTTGCCACAGTTTTAACCATTTCTCTAGTTCATTTAAATGAATTTGTAAATTTTGACAGGCTGTAACAGGAACCGAGCTAGAAACCATTATTACAGTATCATCTGCATAGGTAGCGATTATGCTGTTTACTCTTGTGGGAATATCTGCCGTATAGAGTAAGTATAAAGTTGGACCCAATATACTACCCTGAGGTACTCCCGATAGAATTGGAGATATGTTTGATACTGCTTCATTGCATCTGACCTGGAAATATCGATTGGTAAGATAGGATCTCAGAAGAGCATACAGAGGATGAGGAAAGTGAGTTTTTATTTTAGATAGCAGCCCCTCATGCCATACTTTATCAAATGCTTGTGAGACATCCAAAAAGGCTGCAGTGCAGTATTCTTTCTTTTCAATCGCATCTCTTGCTACTTTGTCAACTCTATGTACCTGCTCAATTGTTCCATGTTGTTGCCTGAATCCAAACTGATAATCAGGTATTAACTTTTGTCTGTCGGTTTTAGAATTCATTTTCTGAAGGAGTATCCTCTCAAATATCTTAGAGATAATGGGAAGCAAACTGATTGGACGATAGGATGATAGTTCTTGTGGAT